AAAAGACAGTTATCTTCATATTCGCCGCAGCCACGACAACCTAAAATCTTTCAACGCAGTTAGTTCTGAAACGTGTTAAACTTAATTAACGTGGCCTCTTTCTCTATAAATTGATCCTATTGTGTCTCCATTCCACCTACACTTGGAATTAATCAGTATCTCTCTTCACCAGGATTAGTCTTTTCATCAACTGAACAATATTCGTTCGATGTTCGATTTATTAGTTCTTTCCTGCAACTTGTATTTACTCCGTTCTGTTTCGCGATAATTCCTGGGCTAAATCCTTTGGCAATGTGTCATGAAATCTTTACTTGAGACAAATACTAACAGATGTACATTAGTAGACCGAGCAGTTCCCTGTCTGTCTTTACCAGATACACGGCGCTACAACCAAGAAGATAGCCACCTTCAACTAACTAACTAACTAACTAGATGGCTTACCGAACCCGAAGGTTCATCACCGAATTAACCAAAGCCCTCCATCGGACCCTGTCCTGGGCCAACAAAGTCCAGTTTCCTTCAACTCCTATCTCGGATAGATCCCGCCTGAGATTATCCTCCCATCTTCGTCTAGGTCTCCCCAGCGGTCTCTTCCCTTCAGGTTTCCCAACCAGTACCCGGTGCACACCTCTTGTCCCATCCATGCGCGCTACATGTCCCGCCCATCTCACTCTTCTCGACTTAATCACCCTCACAATACTGGGGGAGCAGTACAGATTTTTAAGCTCGTCATTGTGCAGTTTTCTCCACGCCCCATCGTCTTCCCTCTTAGGCCCAAATATCCTCCTCAACACCCGATTCTCAAACACCTGCAATCTGTGTTCCTCCCTCAGAGTGAGAGACCATGTTTCGAACCCATACAAAACAACAGGCAAAATTAATTAATTTTCAGGTTCTTAGAAATCAGACGGGAAGACAAAATATTTTGTCTCCTCCTAACTTCCTCACGAGTGTCATTTTGATTTGTTATTGTTGTTCCCAAATATTTGAACTTTGTAACACTTTCAAAGGACTTATTAACCAAAAAAAATATATAAAAATGGGACAGAAATATGAAAGGAAGACAGAGTTAAATTTACAGAATCAATAACAAGTATCGGTTTTCAGTGAACTCTGCACTGGGCATATCTTATTGGGAATTTGATCTGAACAAAGGTTTGTAGAGATTGTGAGTATTTAATTTTATTACGGATGTGGTACAAGAACACGTTGCGAGATTGCGATGTTACATCACGCGCTCCTGACTGGTTTCCTATACATCCGATACATCCAATTATAAATTTAAAAATAATAATAATATTAAACTTGCAGATAATGGCAACAGATAAGATGACTGACTACTGATGTAAGCATTTTTTTGTAACTTTGGGTCATCGTTGACTTTCGCTAAACATGACCTCTGAGTACAGGTAACACACGTGTTATTTCAATAACAGCCCAAACACGTGTTAAAATAATTATAGCGTTCACTGTTCAAACAGATCTAAGAGATTTTTATCATAAAACAATAATGATAATATAATCAAACACCAAGTAACAGAAGATGGCTGTCTTCTGGGTTGTAGCGTCCTGTAGTCTGGTAGAAGTTTACCAAACTACACGGTGCTACAAGCCAGAAGACAGCCATCGTCGGACTCAATATCGTAAAACCCTCAAATCCTACCAAGTAACAGATTATTACATTATTATTTCTTCAACAAATACTATCCAAAAATAATTCATCTGCAGAAATGATGTTTTGCGTTTTCTTGTTACAGAGCACTAAAATTACAGCTGTGGCCTGGCAAAATACAGAATGTCCCAAAAATATGTATACACAGTGTTGATTTATGTAATGGTTGCGTGTATATATATTTTTGGGACATTCTGTATATGTCTCCGACCCCAGTATGATTTCAGAGCAATTTATTGTCAATGTGACGTCACGGAAACAATGACAAAAGTGGTACTTACGACATGTTTCGGTTATATTTACCAATCTAATTTATACCTGAGGACGGTTAAATATAACCGAAACATGTCGTAAGAGACGTTCCAATTTGTAAATCGATCATTCGATGCGGAACGTGAAATAATATTTTAAATATTTTATATTTTATTATCTTATTAAAAATTGTGATTTGACGGAAAATATTAAAATATTAACAACAAGTTTCGACAACAGCCGGTGGCCATCAGGACAGGTGAACTCTGTATTTTAAGGCATATTAAAGTATATTAATTTCATTGTAGTCCCAGAGAAGATATAAGAACAAATTCTTAAATAAATATACAGAGTTCGGGGCCAGTAATATTAATTCGACAGGTTATACAGGCTTTGGTTTTGTGCAAATCTTAACCAGAGGCGCCTCATAAACTCTTTTGGCCAACTCCAGTCGTAATTTTCGGCACAGATTTCAGCAAATTCGTGAATTTTCGAAGAGGGGGAATACAGAGACACGTGTTCTTGACGGACGAAGGAGGTCGGGGGAGTTCAAGAAACCAATTGGGCCAAGAGAAGACAGTTTAGCGCCAAGATTATTGATCTTCTCGACTGAGTTGAGAGGATTCCCTGACGTTTAACGCAGTTAGTTTCCAGTATCAGACTAAAGCACATTAGCCATCTTTATTTTGGCTTGGAACATCTCTAGTACCTTAGTTTCCCCACCAGTTGCGTGGCATACGCTCTGTGACTATTACAACCTGTTGTTTCAAGCACTGACATCTCAATAAGTAATTAAGTAACTATCGACCGAACGAGCTATATGGAAAAAAAATATTCTTTAGAAGCTCACCTAATGAATATTGCATTCACAAAAGCCTGTAACCGGTAACTTGTCTAATCCAATCCAAGCTCCAAAAAATATTTCTCAAAAGAGTTCCGTTAATATTATCCACCATTTACGAGGTGCGATCGGAAAGTTTCAAGACTGCGTCAATAGAGGGCGAACCGGATGTAGTACGAGCTTCTGCCGCTAGGGGGTGCGGCCTACATTCATAGTGAATCAGTGTGCCAGCTGGCATCATCGAATTAGCATTTATTTCTTAGTTGCGGGCGTTTTGGTAGTGCATTACACCGACCCTCCTGCGATTTCGGAATGGCGTGGGCATCAAAT